GTTCATGGAACCCCAGAAGTGAACCTCTTCTGTTTATGTCCCCCCAACAGTAGATGTGAAATGGTCAATAAACCCTAAGCTGCTCTAATCAGGGAGGATTTCTCATGGCCTTTTGCATTAAAGGATCGGTAGCCTGGGGAGGTTTATTTTCCAGGCAGATTTAGTGCTGGAAATTTCAACACCAACATCCCAAAAAGAAGCCACATAGAACATAAATTTGACAATAAAACAGAGGATGGGGCACTCCGATTGTATGAAGGGACAGAGGTGAGTCAAGCAGACTCCTCAGACAGCAGAGGTAGAATGTTTCATTACAATCAGTGAAGATTTGGGCCAAAGTTTACTTTTGCAACAAACCACCTCAATATTCCACAAAAGGCCTCCAACACAAGGCAGTGTACCCCAACAGAGGGTTAGAATAAGACCACAATGGGACTTTCCAGAGGAGATCAGCAGAACTTGGCCTGTGCCATAAAAGAAGCGGACTTGACTTAGACTCCAGCTGAACAAGGGTGTTGTACTAATTCTTGCTATAAAGACTGGAAGTTAGGATGAGATTTCTGTGTCAATCCCTTAGGGTCATAAATGAGTATGTCAGTTGCCCAGTAAACTATGCCATTATGTGGGCTGCTCTTGGCTCTCTTCAAAATCCCAGATTAAGGAATGGACCCGAAGCGTGTGGTTGCTGTTAGGTGCCATCAAGTTGGTTCCAACTCAGAGACCTACTATGTACAACAGCTGGACACTACCTAGCCATGTTCATGACACCAAAATACTGTGGGAGGAGTTACATTTGTTCTAAATCTTTCCGTGGCTCATTTCTGTGTGAGAAGGCCAGAACCTTACCCTTTCACATGTATTAGTTGATTTGGTCCCCGAGGCAGATATTGCTGCCCTTCTACAAAAAGAGGGGCATAAGCAGACATCATAATAAGTGGATTATTATCCAAAGTTCCTCAAGACCAAAATGTCACTAGAACATGAGTTGTCTCTGTCTTATTCCCAGTTCAGTGTCTGTGGACAGTGAGCAGTCTTTTGTAACACTCAACCAGCCTTTCACAAATAAGTGAATGTTACTGAAATGGTAAATTCCTGTCCACACCAAAACCTGTCTCTCTTCCTCAGCATCTCAGAGTATGAGAAGATTGTTGTTTTGATAAATGCAGTTATGTACAAAGAATTTTCACCGTGGAGTGGAATTATTTATATGTATATATATATATTTTTTTTCTTTTTCAAAAACCCTGCGATCGAATCTATTGTGACTCATAGCAACCCTATAGGACAGAGTAGAACACCTGTGGGTTTCCAAGACTAAATATGGGAATAGGAAACCTCCTATTTCTCTACAGAGCAACTGGTGGTTTTGAACTGCTGACCTTGAAGTGTGGGAAATAGAAGGATTTCTCTCAAATTGTCTCCCCCAAACATATGTCAGACTTAGCTGCTGGAGAGCGACTGTACACTTGGAGGTCATCAGAAGTGGATTGGGGGTCATTCTCCCTGAGAGTTATCACCTGTCTAGACCAAGCAGACACCACTGTTTATCCCACAACAAGTAGGGCCCACTCCCTTCTGATAAGGCTAGTAGTTGTCTGTTTCCTTGTAGGAGACACC